GCCCCTAAGTACTAAATACGTGGACCCCAGTGCCTATAGTTGACCTTCTACCGAAAATATCAGTCAATCCACAAAGAAATCTCAAACGAGTATACCATTTGACTTTGCGAGAGTATAAAATGTTCGGTTACATCCGAACTTAGCCCTTCCTTACTTGTTCTATATACTTTTTAGGGTGAGAGTTACAAACATAGTGGCAAACTTAATATACCTTGTTCAGGGTATAAAAAGAACAATAGGTGTGGCACCGCCCACTTTGTGGTGTAATGCATTCTCTTAGTACCTGTTCCACTCATTTCAACGAAATTTGATTCATAGCATCATCTGGATATTTTAATGCCATAGTTTGGCAGTATAAAAGTAAAGTTTACAATGGGCGATATCGGGTAACAGCCACACCTACTTAAATAAGCAGCAACAAAGATTTCGGAATCGAACGTTTGTAAATAGTTATATATTTTATATTATATCTTTTCGAGGCCTCTAGATATCGAACGCGATTATAATCAATATGTATAAGTATATGTATCAGATCATATTTTCCTATTAACCTCGTGCTGTGGTACAACAACAAAAGTTAAAATTGTCTGGTTCACTTTATATCATATAGATAGGACAGTATGTGAGATATCACACCAAGTTTAAGTGAACGTATAACGCTGGAGATAGCTATAGTATAGGTATTGAAAATAGAAATTTACATTACATATAACGATTTCAGATTTTCATGTGGACTCTATGCTAAATTCCATATTTTGGTAATTTTGTGAGATATCTTCATAAGATTTTAGGTAAACATATTCTCAAACATTATTTATTTTAAGGGACACACCTAGTGTGAGACCTTTAAAAAATCGATTAGTATCTTCCTTCGATAGGTTAAATGTTCTATACTTAAATTTTAAATCGATACCTCAAACAGTTTTTATGTATATATAAATATAAATGATCAGTGATATGAGCTGAATCGATTTAACCATGTTATACAAACTGACCAATCAAAATAAAGTTCTTGTAAGGTATTTTTTGTATATGTGTAGGATATTATAGCTTCAGTGCTACCGAAGTTAACATTTTTTTTTTTGATTTTAAGGATACCTATTCCTAATATACTCAATATAGTGGCATTCAGTTTTCTGGTAGACTTTGAACCAAGAATATCAGTCACAACATTGGTTATTTTATTAAAATAAAGTGGATATGTTTTCTTAACTATAATTTGGGCAATATAATTGAAATCGATGTAGACTCTTGGTCCCTCCACCTCTGCTTGTACATTTACACAATATAGTCCAATTCTTTGCTTTAGTTGAGTTTATATCGCATATATAATACAATTATGTGGAAATACAGGAGCCATGTTAACTGCTTATATCATAGAACCCAATTTTCTTCGAGTCTATCTGAAAGGTCAAAATTTAATAGCAACCATTTTCCAGAGTAGTTAAAGGAAAATATTCGCAGAATTGCGAATTTAGGAATCAATTTACAAAAAGTTACACTTCAGGAATGATATAAGTATAGAATTTCAGTAGGATAAGATTAATAAGATATAAATATGATACTCAAATAGTTCTTTGTCATCTCATCTTTGTATTTTCTTTTCATAATCATTTAGCTATCCATTCATCTCTTTAATAAATACACTATACAGATCACACGATAAACACGAAATTTATATACTTTATAACGAAAGTAAAGTCGTTTAAACGACATTTAGCTTAAACATATATTATTGTACATACTCATACATACAGAAAGTCGACAAACTAAAAAATATAATAAAAATTTTATTTCGATTTTTCAACTCCTGTGTCTTGTTCCTACTAACAAAAAATTCTGAAATATTGTACAATCCATAAATATGCGACATATATTTGAAGCAATAGCTGTGACACTTAAATATCTCATATAAGTATTATTGCGTTTGCTTTCAATCATCTATCGAATAGTAAATAAATATGCTTCTGTCAGTATACTGTTATTGTACGTACTTCAAAACGCGTGCACAAACACTACAATGGTTGAGAGTAGAAAATAATTCTATATAATATGAAAACCAATCACATATTGGAAACCCAACAATGATCATTATATTTTTCTGATTAAATAACACTTAAAATAATGGCTGATCTCTAAGTGATTCAAAGTTTGTTTGAGGCTTTTCGCGAAATACAGACAACAACCTTAAAGAATAGGTGGAAAAAAATATAAAGGATAACAATATATGTACTAGTATGCAATCATAATTCCCAGCGAGAATATTTTGGATACAGCATAAGAAGCTGATCAATTATAATCATAATCAATATTATGTAACTTCTCTTCCACGCATTTTATAACAGCAAATATTCAAAGTCCATTATAAGATTTATTGATTTCCTCGAAACACTTCCTGCTGGCCTTTAAGTTACACATATATACACTCTGTAATCCAGCGTTTGGCTGTGTGACAAAAACCTCATAAAAATGGCTGACGACAATCATGACCATCAACTCAACAAGCCAGTTTATGGTGGCGCTTAATGCGAGATGGCTGATGTTTATGTTTAGGATGTGTGGTTCTTATAACTATCTGGGTCATATGTACGTTCTTATACCGTTATGCCTATATAGTGCGAGCGTAGGCAGGCAATCACTTATTTAGTATGTATGAATTCATTGAGGATAAGCGTACTTAAGTATTATAACCAATTTTATGCAAATTAATTGAATCATTTCACGCTCAATAACAATTGAAATTACTTTAACAATTTCTTTTCTATTTGCTGTACACAGAATAAAGGATTGTAAAAAGATTATTGAAATGGTTTTAAATATTATATATATATTATCTTCTAAAATAAAGGGTACATTATGGGAGGTAAAATATCCAAATATTACCAGTAATCTAGACTGTAGATTCTAACTAGCTTATTTAACTATTGTTTCATGTCGACTGTAAATTTAGTGTTTGATGTGTTATATCATCAAATTTCGGGCTACCATATTCGAATCTATAGCAATTACCCTGTGGCGACCTAAAAATAAAATCACTACTCCGTTTCGCAACGAAGAAAATTTTTCTCTACTCAGAGCGCATGAAAATCGCTCAGGAGAGCTGTATTTTCAAGAAAACCCATCTGAATTGTTGTCATTCAGGGCAGGGCGAAATGATTGTATCACTTCTATTAGAAGGAGCCAAGGAGCAATATAGCATTGGATGTAAGATAAGTTTTAATATAAAAAAAAACAATAGATGAAGCAACAACCTCCTTGTTTATTTATGAAACATTATTTATTAAAAAAAATCATACATTATTTATTAAAAAAAATCCCTGGTGATTCCAAAAACTATCATTACAGACTTTGAACCTGGAATCTGCACAGTCCTTCGTTAAAGCACCGTGAGAGGTGAACCCGAGTATCATAAAAAGTTAACAAAATAATTTGGGTGGCCATAAAAGGATGCTGATATCAAAGGGATGTGTTTAACATATCGTTCGTAAATATATATCCATCCGGAAGCAAAATACAGGTTGGTTGTAAAGTGTCTGCTCTCACCAAGAAATAGCTACTACTATCTCAAGTTGGTACGTCTGTCATGAGAACACATTTATAGTTAAAAGTCATTCTGTCAATCAATTCTTTGTTTACAAGCCATTTGAAGTTGACGTGTCACAGTAGCTTTTTAATATGGAAAAGTTTAATAACGCGCACTGATTAGATTCTTAGTTTTGAAAGGTTTTAAAGCAAAGGAAATTTATGAGAAAAGAAGAAAGAAAAGAAGTGTATAAGGAGTCCGCAACTTCAAAACGCACCCTTGAATTTTGGGCTGGTGAATTTAAACGTGGTCGTACTAGGCTTGAAGACCATTCACGCGAAAAACGACCAAAAACCGCAACCACACCAAAAATCATTGAGCAAGCTCATAATATTGTTAGTGAAGATCCAAATTCGTCTAAGCGTTAAATTGCTCATTCTAAATGCCTAATGTCAGGCATCTCAGATGAACGAGTACTTCATACCTAACATGGATAATTATATATGAAAAAGCTGTTTGGAGAGTTAGTGCCGAATAAAAGCGATTTCTAGCGTCGTTTCTTAAGTATAGATGAGACTTGGAGCTACCACCATGGCCTTAAATTGAAACAAGAACGTTTACACGTGAGTTTGCTGAGAAGCTTCAGGTATCACATACATACTTTAAAAATCACTTAAAACAACTTGGCTATGTTCAAAAACTCGATACATGGGTTCCTCACGAACTGAAAGAAACGCATTTAACGCAACGCATTAACAGCTGCGATTTGCTAGGGAATCGTAATGAAAATTGTCCATTTTTAAAGCAAATGATAACTAGCGATGAAAAATACAATAATATTGAGCCAAAAAGATCGTGGAGCAGGCCAGGTGAACCAGCTCAAACAACATCAAAAGCTGGTATTCATCATAAGAAGGTTTTGTTATCAGTTTGATGGGAAGAAGTTTTATGAACGTGGGATTATGATGTTGCTTGAAAGATGGCAAAAGATCATTAATCAAAATGGGCAATACATTACAGAATAAAGTTATTTAGTTCCATGAAACAATTATCTTTGATTTAAAAAAAAAAAATCCGCAATTACTTAGTTGTCAACCCAATATATAGAATAACGAATTTCGCCAAAAACGAAAAAAAACGTTAACTTTAGCTGCACCGATTTTAATACCATTTACAAATGATTCCTTACAAGTATTTGTTACCGATCGTTTAGTTTGTCTGGCAGCTATATGCTATAGTGATCCGATTTGAACAATTTGTTCGAAGATTGCTTGGGAGCTAGTTCGCATATAACATATTGTATACAGACAAACAAACGGTCAGACGAAAATGGCTAAATCTCTTCAGCTCATCACGCTGATCATTTATGTATTTGTATACAATTTATTATTACTAATTTTCGTTTTCTTCAAAGGATAAATTAGTGTCTCCGAAAGCCATTTGAAGTCGTCTAAAAATGTGTATAACCCTCTTTCACTATAGTAATGTATTTCTTCTATTATTCAATATACGAGTACATACAAGTATATATAATATTATACTTTATTTCTCAAAGCATTTCAAGTCAAGTAAGAGCATTTGGCCAAAATCAACAAATGTTAGTAAATATTGCTATAAATCAATTCTCTCCATTCATAGTGTTCAGAAACATAAAATACGACACAGCAGAACGAAGAGCCTGAAAGTTAATAAAGCCATTAATATTAGATATTCATATTCTGTCTGTCCTCCGCCAAAATACTTACCGCACTCACCGTACTGTAAGTGAGTGGAAAAAATTTCATGCCATCGAAAACGATAGGTTCCTGAGAATTCATGATAGCAAATTGTACATCACCCAACAACAATTTATTACTACGCGGATCGCCAAGCACCAATAAATCCTCCCAGCGGCAACAGTAGAAGCTATTTCGTAGCTCCGTGGTCTATGCAAACACGAAGTGAAAATAACGAGCCACAAACGTGCATTAAAAAGCGGTTTAATTGTATACTAGTGTGCTGAGACACATAAATTAGAAATGTCTAATGATATTATAGAAGTGTGGAAAGGCCTAAGCCATACCTCATCCATCAGCATTTGACCGAAATAGCCAATTAACAAAAATTGCGCAGTTTGCGAAATTAGCCAGGAAATATATTTGCTCGATGCCACAGTGATTGGACCCTAATGGAGAGCGTAGAAAAAATGCAGAGAGAATAATTGTGATAAATGTTAGAAATATTTAAATTCGTCTGTGAGTTGCCATACTTACGCTCTGAAACTGAAAGGAGACAACGCACAACAGCAAAACGCCAAAGGACATAATGTAGAATATTTGGTGGGTGAAATGAGCCTTGGCCTCGACGACGAAGCTGCAATAGGAAATTGCGTAAGGACAATGAACACAATAAGAAACAAAAAGCATACACCAATGATGTATGAGCATTAAGCTTAAGGATATAGAAGGAAATGCGTGCGAAAACATATGCAGCTGACGCTAGTGTACTTGGTAATTGTCATTGCGAATGCTGCTAAAATAACATAATGTGCACATACGAATGTTGTCCAATAAGTGCAGCCTACAAAATAAAAAGTTGGAAAAGTAGGAGGTTTATCTCCGCACATAATCTTCTTTTTGCTCGATACAGTTAACCCAGCTATACTCCACTTCTGTAACCCCTTCACTCGACACCGTTCGACTCAGTTTTCTGCGCGGCGAGTAACTTTTTGAGATTTCGAATCCAAACGAAGTGGCAAGTGGATGGAGCAGTTCGTTGCCCAATTCCTCAAGCAATTCGACCTTGGCGCCACCAAAAGTGTGGGCCGACGCGTTGTCAAAGAGAAAAAACATTTTTTTCTACGCCAAATGGGATTGTTGTTTCTATAATTTGGCTTCGAATCGACTCATTAATTATATATTGATAGATCACGGTGATCATTTTAGTCTTCTCCAAGTATTCAGTGTAGATCACACCTTGTTAGTCCTAGTAAGCAGTAACCTCTACTTTTCTGGTCTAGGGTGCAGTCTTCATGTTCTACGCGGCAGCGGAGGATGAAGCCCACTGCATCGTCTATTTCGAGGCCTTAAGTGTGTACCCCTAGATTCATGTTTCGTTGACGATATCGAAGTAGCATAGAAACTTCTTCAGATTGTACTCTCACACTTTCGATTAGTTATTTGCCAATACGAGATCTTGGACTTCACGTTATTCTCCGTGGTACGCGCTGAAGGAGCATCTGAACGTTTCTTATCAAAAACCAACGCGCAAGAAGAGTCGCAATATACAGCATCCAGGTACTCTTTATTTTCTCTGCGCGTTTTCACTTTTTAAGACTAAACACTATTCACTGTCCGAGATTTTGTATTTTTTCGATCAAAACCAATCTAAGAGTTCGATTCGACTGATGCCAAGTACTTATCGGACATCTCTTGTGGATAAACTCTTACCTTACTTCCAACATACATATGCTCACATTTATAAATAATATGTACGTGCCTCTTACCCATTCAAACGTTGCTGCCGTCGAAAAATTTCACAGAGACGTCGCCGAAAGGCTGTATGCAAATTTTGATTCGTACAAGGTGTCTCGCCGCCCTTCAGATCAGCACGTGCCATCTCCAGGAGCTGTTGCAAATCCAAGCGCAATTTCTTATAGCGAAAACTGGCATGACAGAGCACCAAGCAGAGCGTATAATCCTCAGCGGTCCATATTGTCACACAAGAAATCGTCAACCAACCCGAATAGATGGCGGTGATGATGAATTGCAGCGGCACTTGTGCGTCATACCAACGAAATGACATGCGATAGATAAATGGTTTGTCAGGTGACGCCAGACCCACGCTCGCCACATCGTACACGTACAGCGCGAGTATCAGCACCATGGGCGTATAGTAGAATTGCGTAAATATATTCATAAATCGTATTATCGAGTTGATTTCCTTGCACAGCGCAGCATCGTCAGCGCTAAAAACGTAAATATGCGAATGATTTTATAAGCAAAAATTGCGAGTTCGCATAACTGCATACTTACTGCGTAAAGTAAATGTCACGATAAAAATTTCGTAGTAGTTTTCGTAATGCGCGCTGTCTACTGAGCAGCACAAATATTCGTATTATATATTGTACGCCCATAAAAGAGGTGCACAGGCACTCAGCCACGGCTGGTATGTCACCGATGTTCTCGCCTATGAAGGTAAACTCGCCTGCGTTGAGAAAAATACTTGCTTACTACGTAAGTAATGCAATTTGTAATCATTACTCACCCAAAATAGTGCCTATGTAGCAGAGCACGCTCACACCGAGGCATATGTTGTTGACGAGGCGACTTAAGATGCTGGCATCCTCCTTGAGTGGCCAAAGGAAATTGAATTTGTAACCCGCTACCTGTATAGGCAATATTATTGGCCGATTGTCGAACTGCAAAGGCACAAAGTAATCCATATTTTAATTAGGCAGTCGTATGAGTATGTGAGTGCAAAGTAGATAAACTTACTAAATCCAGCGTCCAAATTATTGTTGTATTTATATATGCTCGCTCTGCTGGTATTTCAGCATTTTCATGTTTTATTTTCATATTTTGTTGTATTAAAATTTCATAGCATTAATAACTATTTAAATATTAATTAGGTTTTTGATTCGGTTTCTAAATATTGTCAATGTAAAAATGTATGTATGCATATGTTGTACGACATTGGAAAATCCAACGAATGATAAATACAAAAAATAGCAGTACACAAAATTTTACTAGTTCAGCTTAGCTTGCTTAATAACTACAACAACAAAGTCAACTAAAAATACCGATAATATCATATTTATACCCGAGCGTAATGTGCTAAGTATAATATTTTTGCGTTTTTAGTAGAAAGGTTGCCTATAGCAACAGTAAGTGGAAATCAAGAGGAAAATTTTAACATCACGAGCATTTTTCTAATCAATATAACAGCGTATAAGAGACATTTAGTTTTGAAAACGTTCGGAACTCGTTTTCCTCTAAGAACCTAATTTTGATCGTTCAGTTTGTGTGGCAGCTATAGCTATAGTGGTTCCCACAAATGCGCAGCTTCTTAGATTGAAAAGGCTGTGTGTGATTTCGGAGCGATAGCTCAAAAACTAAGGGACTAGTCCGCGTGTATATAGACAGACGGACATAGCTAAATCGACTTCACTCGTCACGTATGTACTTGTATGTATATATATATTTATAATGTTTTCGACGTTTCCATCAGGGTGTGGGGTAGGAAACTTAATATACCCTGTTTCGGGTAAAGTAAGTCTATATACGAAAGTTTCACTAAGTATAGCCTTTTAGAAACCAAGATAATATCTCTGTGAAATTTGGATTTCGATATATCTGTAATATCAAGCAAAAGAAAGAACGGGAAGGGGAATTTCGAATGTTCGCTATCGAAAGTTTCCAATAACAACTTTCTAGGGTTAAAAGGTAATAAGGCCTCGGCTGCAGACTGTAAAAGTTCAGTGTTTAGAATACTTAAAGTAACAAGTACTCTTTGAAGTTAGTTGGGTGAAAATTGTAAGTTGTGTTCTGCTTGTGAGCTCTTAATGATTATGTACTAAGTAAATGTGGAGTTAGTTAATTTATATACGATAAATTTGGTGACTGGTGAGAAAAATTTACTGATCGAACACTTGTTGAATTTAAATGGTTCAAAGGGTCAAAACTCAAAATGGAATACTATATAACTATAATATTGTACGATAATGGTGCTAAAACGATTTATAAGTCCAATTCATACTCATACTTGTATAATGAATATTAGTTGATAATTTATTTGTTGAGAAAAAATGTCTTTTGTATACGTCATCAATAACTGGGCTGCAGGGAAATATTTATAATAATTTTTTCGATTTAATATGCTTGAACTTATATTATATTGGCTTGTTCACCTGACCACCGCAACAGATTCCTAAAGAATATTGAGTACAAAATGTGTAGTTATCCAAGGTTTTCAAACCAGTCTTTGTTTGTTGAAACACACTGCACTAAGCTGTCTTCCTTAGATTTGGTGTATTCAACAGCAAAATACATATTATATATACCAAATATTTTCTTCCATTCTATTTTTCAGTGGCTCTGCAGAAGTATCATAAGCATTTATCATAAGCAACTAAAACTGCTTTTTAATGCCTAAGCCAACCTTAACCTCCTATAACCCACTTCAGCATACTTGGTCAACACGTTGTGCGCGTGTATAAATTACTCTTTCCAATTCTCTTTGTGCATTAACGGCATACAATTGTTTATTTTAATCATTTTAAATTAGTTGGTAGTAATTATAATAAATAATTAAAGAAAGGCAAACATGTGTATATGTACAAGTATATGTGTGCATACGCAGAATACAAAAATAAAAATTAATCCAAAGAAAATTATATTCACATAAATATTTGATGATAGTGAATTTACAAAAACAATATTAAATACTGTGTACAACTACAAATAGCTTTTTTAACTGAGTCAAAGGATAAAGCAGTGCAAGGGGAGAGGTTTTAATCCAGTACTTTAAGGAAATGAATTTAATTATGCAATATATACTTAGGTATATTGCTCAATGGTCATTTGTCATTGATTCGAAATAGAAATTGAGCCATATACATATATATTATAAATATTGGAGAATTATTTTATAAAAGTATGTGATTAAGGTTCATATGTTTTGGACTTATGAATTTCAAAATTACTGACAACCGTTATGTAGGACATTGTTTGTATATTTCACCACCTTTATGTCTACTTGTAGTTCGAATAAATTTACTGCAATAAAAATTATTCAACATTTTAATAATTTTGGATAGTACCGTTTTTTTTTACTGTGTGAAATAACCGATTACGCTCATTTAGGTATGGTATTGTATATTATGATATGTGTATATATGATATTATGTATATATTTCGACTATTTAGAGTTGCAATTAAAACGTTTGAAATATATGACAAACAAACTTACTTGTATTACTCACAGTGAAATGCATTCAATGTTCTAACATAGGAGTATGTATATAATTTTCTTTTTTTCTAATTTTTCAGTGCAATTTTAAATATCTTTTTTTTCATTTCATATTCACAATATAAATATATCTTAAAGATAAAAAATTTAATTTCATAGTTTGCTTTACTTATACATTAATCCTTTTACAACTTCGTTGATATTATTACAAACGTACAAGATATTTCCATTGACCCTGAGTAAAATGAGTTAATTTACATTTAATGCCGAGTGCATGTTTTATTTCACACTCGATGCCATTTGTAATGATTGACCACTTATGCAAGTGAAATTTAATAGCTGAGAAGATTCAAAAGAATTGTATACATCAATCTTAAAATCATTGTATGAATTTTGCTTAGTCTGTGAACAATGGTTGGGAAAAGAGAGTGCTTTACAAGAAGTAAATATTTTAATAAATGATTCTTAGCACTAACGAATTATTATTACTCAAGTACTCCACACAAGAAGTAATGTACCTATAAGATTCCACAATTATCGTTAATAATAACTCAAGTTTCAAAAGATCCTTCCAATATCAGATATTATTTCAATAATTCAAACAGAATAGTACGAAGCATACAACCTAAGAGCTGCAAAACTTTTTAGGTAGAGTATATTCATATTTAATATTCCAGCACTAATTTGAAGAACTGCCTAAATGCCTGCCAAAAATTTCTACCATCTGACCCGGACTGTATAACCCTTTCAATATAAATATAAATATTTATTATTGCTTTCAAAATAGGTTCCCGAGCCAATACAAGCATGTCAACACTTAATCCAATTTCTAATATGCATATTTATTTTTTATAAGCCCCCAGCAAACTTTGATTTCAACTCAAAACATAGCATAATCTAAGAGCAATTAAATGGTACCATAAAATTTTATGATCGTGAAGTTGTTAGACTTATAGACTTTAGCTAAAACCGGCGTTATAATACAATGTAAATGATCAATGAGAAATTACAAGGCGCTTAAATGATCAGGTAGGAGGGCAAATTCTATAAATAATGCGAACAACCGAATAAAATTATTCCACGATGTTTTTAACACCCAAAAGGATACTCCGGAGACCCTATAAATGATCAGGAAGATCTGCTGAGTCGATTTAACCATGTTCGTATTCCATTTACGTGAACTAGTACCTCAGCTTATGAGGATATGAAATTTTACACATACTCTTTTCTTAGCAGCTTATTGCTTGTTTGTCGGAACTGCCAATATCTTCACGAAATTTGGCATAGATTATTGACTAAAAGATTGCATTCCGAACATATTGCTCAGATCGCACCACTATAGCATATAGCTGTCACTCAAACTGATAGATCAAATTCAAGATTTAAATATGTTTATTTTTTGATTAGATTTGAATTTGATCGGTTAGTTTGAGTCAAAGTCATAATATAGACCATAATACCCTTTTATGCTACAAAAAATGCCGTGAAGGGTTTTATATAGCTTTGATGCAGCCAAAGTTAACGTTTTTTCTTCTTTTGTCACACTTTTAAAGAAAGAGAAAAAAAACTACATTGAATGGTGTTTTATTTAACAACTTTCCTCAAATTTAATACAAAGTAAATTAAGCAAAATAAATAAAATGTATAACTTTTTAAAATATTTTTAAGAGGAAAACGTAATGAAATAGCCACCACGTCCCTTCCGATAAGTGGAGAAGAACAATTTGTATGTCCCTATTTAACAAAATATAATCGCTCTACTGCAACGCCATTCCCTCACAATTACTTGGACAAATATTTACGACTTTTTGCGCGCATAAAGAATGGCACTGCATATGCAGGGAGCTTATACACGCAAACCTAAAATATATTTGATATGAAAATGTGCATACTGTTTCAATGCTGCAACAGCTTACACGCACACTTTATCTGCATTTTTTATATGAAAATATATACAAAATGAGCAGGTGACTTGCCGCAAAGCAGCGTTGCGCTTCAACCGAACGGATCAGCAACGCTTTGTGCAAAAGGGCGGTCGAAATGAAGCGAACGCGCAACGCAATAAAATTCAATGCGGCGACACGCACGAAGAACTCACCGCAAGGAGTAGTGAATAACCATCAAGTTGCACGAGATTCCCACACCTACACATCCACACATTTATATATGTGTGTGTAACTATCACAAAAATGCATAAATGCAATGAGTGCGCATATTTAGCTACCATTAAAAGTGATGACTAGCCGGAGGGACACGCGCGTTAACAGCGTAAGCAAATGAGCTGCGCTTGTGAGTGCAGCGAAGTATTTACACATATATGAGTGTGTACATATTTATAAGGTTATGCAATACATTACGCGCTCACCCCACGCAATTGAAGGTGCTAAACATTAAAGAAAAACACTGGCGCTGAGTAAAAGCAAATAAAAGTAAATGTTGCTGGTGCTTTCGGTGACGATATTTAGCGTTTGCTCATAAAAGCTGCAGCAAATTAAATTTCAATGTTGCAAGTGGCAAACTTTTACGCGCAACTACTCCATTTGTCATCTGTTTGCTTTATTTACAACACTTTGCCAACAAATTTAACGCAAAAACACTTGAACAAACAGCCGCGCATACCGATGCAAATACACACACACTCAAATGCCAACTAACACATGTGCCACACTTACAGTTGCATATGTGCCGTTTCACACAGGGACGCAAAAGAGTCTCATACCAGTTTATTGTGGGTGAGGGGACGACGAGGAAAGACGAAGGGACCGTGCCACTCGTGTTCGGGTGGCACGCTTTGTGTTCTTGTTCGTAACAGCTCGCTGCTACCCTTTTCAGCATTCCTTTTCACTTTCAAATCCTTTGAATGGTTGCAAGAGCGCTCG